GAATTGGTCTTGGAAAAGGCGCTGGACAGAGAGGAGGAGGCGGAGGTGGGTTTCAGCCTCATTGCCGTGGATGGAGGCTCTCCGCCCAGGAGCGGGACCACCCAAATCCACATTGTCGTGCTAGATGTAAATGATAACGCTCCCATCTTCACCCAGGAGCTCTACATTGGGCAGGTTTTGGAAAATGCAGCGGAGGGCTCTGTGGTTCTCAGCGTGGTGGCAACCGATGGGGATGCAGGACCTAATGGGGAGGTGTCCTATCAGTTCAGCCAAGCGGTGGGCCAGAGCCACTCAGCATTTGCAATCGACCCTGTGACGGGTGAAATTAGACTCACGAAGCCTCTGGACTTTGAGGCAGCAGAGACTCACGAGCTCAGTGTGCGGGCCACAGATGGCGGGGGCCTGTCAGCAATCTGCAAGGTGTTGGTGGAGGTGGTGGATGTGAATGACAATGCGCCGGAGGTGGTGGTCAGTTCCTTCAGCAGCCCCCTCCCCGAGAACGCATTACCCGGGACAGTGGTCGCCCTCTTTACTGTCAGGGACCGGGATGCTGGTGCCAACGGGAAGATCTCCTGTGCCCTTGAGGACCAGCTATTGTTCTCCCTGCGGCCGGCCTATAAGAATTACTATGAGCTGGTGACCGTGAGCACGCTGGACCGGGAGGAGACGGCACGTTACACCCTCGCTGTCACAGCGGCAGACGCGGGGTCACCTCCTCTCACAACCACCCAGACCTTCACGGTGGACATCTCCGATGTCAATGACAATGTGCCTGCCTTCAACCAGACATCGTACACCATGTACGTGCGTGAGAACAATGTCCCCACGGTGCTCGTTGGAGCCGTCAGCGCCTCGGATGCCGACGAGGGGCCCAATGCCAAGGTGACGTATTCCCTGGCACCAGCCCACCCTGCAGAGCGGCCTCCCTGCTCCTGCATCTCCGTGAACTCTGAGAACGGGCAGGTATTTGTGCTGCGGCCTCTGGACTACGAGCAGGTGAGGCAGATCGAGGTCTTGGTGAGCGCCTCCGATGCGGGGACACCTCCCCTTAGCGCCAACGTCACCGTCCGCCTTCTTGTGGTGGACGAGAACGACAATGCGCCACTGGTGCTGTACCCCTCGCAGGACAGCAGCCCCGCGTCCAGCGAGCTGGTGCCCAAGTCATCTGAAGCGGGGTACCTCGTCACCAAAGTGGTGGCTGTTGACGCCGACTCGGGGCAGAACTCGTGGCTCTCGTACCACCTGCTGAGGGCCACTGACCCTGGGCTGTTTGCAGTGGGTGCCCAAAGTGGGGAGGTGCGGCTGAGGAGGCCGGTGACAGAGAGGGATGCTGTGAAGCAGAAGCTCGTCGTCCTGGTGCGAGACAACGGGCAGCCACCGCTGTCAGCCACCGCTGCACTGAGCGCGCTCCTGCTCAATGACTTCTCAGACGTGCACCTACCACACAGCAGCCTGGCCACGGAGGATGAGGGTGGCTCCCTGACAACCTATTTAATCATTTCATTGGTCTTTGTCTCAGTCCTCTTCCTCGCATCCATGGCAGCCTTCATCGCGCGCCAGGTGTGCAAGGGCAAGGAGCTGAAGGGGGGGCACGTGCTTTACGGCACTGGCAACTTGCAGAGTGGCCTGGCTGACGCGGCCGCTGCGGGGACCCTGCCCCACGCCTATTGCTACGAGATCAGCCTCACGACGGGCTCGGGCAACAGTGAGTTCAAGTTCCTGAAGCCCATCCTCCCCAGCCTGCCACCGCAGCACAGCGGCATGGGCAGGGGCACGGGCGATGAACAAGAATTCTCCCGTGGCCCTGTCACCATGGAGGATGTGGCACCAGACAACCCAGGGACGCTTTCTGCGGAACAGTTCGATAGTCTTTCCTTCAACTAGCATGGAGTAAATCAGAGCCAGAGGCTTCGTGCCTCGCAACGGGAAGGGATCTGGGCTACAACACGTGGCAACGTTCCCCCAGAGTAAATCTGCATTTGCCATTGGCATCACCGATTTCCCACAAATTCTAAGTCAGAAGAAAGGTTGTCTCCCCCTCCCAAACTAAAGAAACAAAAGAAACTAAGGCTCCCTCAGTCAGGCAACGGTATGTTTCAGCTCTGTTTCAGCCTTTTCTGAAATGCTTGGCATGTGGGGTTAGGTCCAGGGCCCCCAGCTAAGTTCTTGTCTCACTGGCTGTTAGGCAAGTCCGTGAACTTGTATCTCTGATACAGGCCAGCGTGCCATTGGCTTTCTTGACCACCTGGGCACGCTGCAGGCTCATACTCAGCCGGCTGTCAACCAGCACCTGCAGGTCTTTTCCTGCTGGGCAGCTTTCCAGCCACTCTTCCCAAGCCTGTAGCACTGCATGGGATTGTTGTGACAGAAGTGCAGGACCCGGCACTTGGCCTTGGTGAACCTCATACAATTAGCCTCAGCCCGTCGATCCAGCCTGTCCAGACCCCTCTGTAGAGCCTTCCTACCCCTGAGCAGATCAACCCTCCCTCCCAATTTGGTGTCGTCTGCAAACTTACTGAGAGTGCACTCGATCCCTTTGCCGAATTCATTGATAAAGATACTAAGGAGAACTGGC